AGTAGTTTAGACACAACTTGGAGTCCAGGGTAAATGTGTGTTTCATAGCATCAGACAAGCTTGGCACCCAAATCCTTTCTCTTTACACCTTCTCTTTGGGTCTCTGGGGAAGGACTTATACACATAAATTAAATGTGCCATTGTATAGCTCTGCTTCTGCCTAGCTCTGCCTCTCCCCTAGATTGGACACTCTCCTGGTACAAGGGGATCTGATCTGGAAAGTAAAGGGGAAGTTCTCTTCCAATTGGACTTGCCTTTCCAGCACTCTGAGTCTCACTGCTACTAGAGGCTAACAGCTGGGTACTTTACTCAGAACAGTAAAGAAACTCTTCAGTGGCAAGACCAGAAGGGTCAGAGGCGCAGCTCACCAAGAGCCTTTGACCCAGACTTGGCTGATGAGCAGAGCCCACCACCCAGGTTTCACTCCATTTCCTGTATTTCGGGGGCTCCCTCCATAAGTCCAAACTGGATTCTGATAGCTTTAGTTCAATTCCCTGTCTTCTCCAAGTTCAGCACTATTTACACCAGCCTGTGTCTCTGAAGTTCAAGTGTATATATCTGTCTGCACAGCCCTGATTGACATGTACAATGAAAATGTCTCATTCCCGTCTGGTTTGCATTTCATTACATTGGGCAACAATATGCCTTGAACTGCAGAGGACAAAGGCAAAACAGATTTGTAAAAAGGGTTGATTAACAATATCTATCTGTTGATGCTCTATTAAAATTTAAAGGTATTTAGGGCTCATAAAATATTTGTCAAATGATGGGACAGTAGTAAAAACTGTGATGTGGTCAGTAAACTGTGGAGCTCTGTGTCAGTAGGCGAGTGTGTCCGCAGGTCGGAGAGATCGGTCAGCTCAGTCCCAGAAGCCAATTAAGAGCTTTATCTTAGCATAAAAATAAAGACGAGTTAAAAACGCATTCTTTCGTATTCTTTTCCCAGCTTTCTTCCCCCTTCATTTTTTATTGCCATTTGCAGTTTTTCTTTTTAAAAGATCTGGGACTCTGAAGAAAGGATGGGGATTTATGTAAAGAAAGTGTCGTTTACCAGGAAAGAAATGCGAATAATGGTGAATTTCAAGGACGTGTTTCAACGAAAAACACTTTGTGCTCCACTAGGGAGAGGCAGGGGCACCAAATTCAGTGTGTTGGAATAATTCCCCTCCTGGATTCAAAGATTCATTTATTGAAATAAATCAGGAAGCATTGGCAGAACGGAAATCCGCTTGCTGGGTTTAAAGGGTCTTTAAAATGTTGCGAGTGTTAGATTGCAAGTCTTTTCTAAATACAAAACAGAAGAAAAGACCGCAGTGTTTCCCTTGGACTTAAAGAAAATTGCTAGGTCTCCAACTTAGGATAATTTCGTGTCCACCACAGAAAATGCATTTAGAAAGAAATCCTGCACAATAACACAATGTGCTGTGCATGTTTTTTAGGAGGCTGGAAGGAAGGGCAAAGTGCCGTAGACTGAGACTCTGGGTTGTTCGCAGAAACCAGTTCCACCCCATTGCCTTTCAGGGTGTTCTATTTCTCCTGCTTCTCCAAAATAGATCCCCAAAATCAGTCTCAAAAGCTTTGCTGACTTGGCAATGATCAGTTTCGCTGATTTTATTTATTGCTTTAGTTTTGGGCATAAAAATAAATCTTTTTCCTACTTACTGTTTGAACTCAGTGTGAGGGAAAGGATCCCTTTATATTTCCTATCCATACAGACATGTGGATATTTAGGCCAGACCACATACAACTGGGGGACACATAAAAGAGATTTATTGGTTAATTTAGGCTGCCTAATACACATGTAAACCCCAGTAAGCCAAAGCTGCCAAGGGAGTCTCGGTTATAGCGTAAAATAAGAACCATGACCCGGGTTCCAGTGGTCCTGCTCTACCACCCAGAACTGTGACTTCTTTCTCCACCTGAAAAACGAAGGTGGCAAAAGCTTTTCCCTCCTGGGCTAGCCTGTGTGCAGGGGGAAAAAAAAAACTTCTCTTTTTCGTTTTCCTCTTTGTGCCACCACTCTGCTCTCAAACTCAGCTCCCCAAAGTCCCCTGCTCCCCCGCCCCAAGTTGTTTCCATGCTCTCCTCCAAAAAGCCAGGTTTTCAGAAGAGAGAAACTGCAGGTCATGAAAAAACTTAACTTTTGCCTTGCCTAAGAGAGTAGTGATTTGCTTTCTGGGAGTGGGGAGCTTTGTTTCCTCCTGCGGGGACTTGCTACATATCTGGAGAGATTTAGCCTTCTATTATGTTTAAGAGTCAGGGTTCTCCCTCCCAAAATAAGGAACCTCCACCCAAACCAACCAAAACAGAATTCCAAATGGTCTCCTTGTGCCCTGCTGTTGTTTGTCCCCAGTCTCGTCCTTAGGGGACATCTTTGACCCCCTGAGCCTCACTAAGTGGCAACATCCCCTCAGAACCGCTCACTCGGGGATGGGCCTGGCTGCCCCCAGGAACAGCTCCACCGCCGGGGTTTTGGCCTAGCTAAACCGCCTCAGGTCTTCCCCTTAACAAGCATCCCCCCACCTCCCCACTTCTCGGTTGATGATCTAATTGAATTATGCCTTTTTGTTCCAGGGACTACAGAGCACGTGCTGGAGGCAATTAATTATCGGAATGTGGCCGCATCAAAACGGACACTGGGAATCGGGTAGGTCAGCGGCCGGCAACATCCTCCTGCCTTGCGTTCGAGACTTCTCCCCAGAAAGGAGCATGCGAGGCTCCCGCGCCCCTCTTCTGCAGTCCCAGGTTATCTGCCCTGATTCCCGATCGTGCAAGGCCTTTGCTTATCGGGTTACCGGCCTGGACTCCCCAGAAACTCTTGAAGCAGCGCTGACCCGGCCTGAGCTCGACAACCGCCCCCTCCCGGTCCCCGAAGTCTCCAGAACCGCTCTTCCCGGGAAATCCAAACTTTTCCAAACCAGTTCCACGCCCAGGGGCGGTGGGGGTTGATGGGAGGTGAAGAGAAGTACGGAGAAGGAAGCAAGGAAATAAAGGGGAAAGTGAAAGGAAAGGGGGGGGGAGAGAAAAAGCAACCCTCCCTTTTTGTAAACCTGACTTCAGGGAATTCATTTGCATGATTTAAGCATATTTGTTCTTCTCAGAACCCCCCCCACCCTCCGCAAAGAAACCCTCTGCTGAGCGACAATGAAACCATTCTTGGAGAGCCTATTTTCGGTAGATGTAATAATTTAAGTCCGCAGTGAACTCACCTTCCAACCTGGGGAGAGAGCTCTGGCTGTGGAGGGAGATTGGGGCGAATTTGATGGGAAGGGGTGACTACGGTAAGATGTGGTACCGACAAGGTTTTCCCCCAGCAAAATGGCAAAGAAAGAAAGTGAAGTGTTGGCCAGGCCAGGCAGATTGGGGGGCAGGAAGTGAAAGGCTGCAGTTATAAAGCGCTGCTTGAGGCGCTCTCTCCTGGCGCCTCTGAACTTGATCAGATGTTCTGTTTCCTACAGAGAGATGGCGGCCAGGCTGTGAGGCTGCCTCAAGGCTTAGACTTTGGGGTTCTGCCCTGCTCGGGATGTGACAATCACAGCCATCTTTCTCTCGGCCTTTTCTAACCATCTCTCACTCTCTGTATTCTTTGCAAGTGCCTTGTCTGACAAAACATGAGTGGATTTATAACCCAGTCTAAACCTGCTCATTTGTCCAGAAAGACCTTGCACCAGAGGGGTGGGTGGGGGGAGGAGGCCACTCCAACACACGTTCCTGGAAAGTAACTCCTTGATGGGTAAGCAGTTCCCTAGGTCACTCACTGTGTGCTTCTCCGAGTAGGGAAACAGTCCTGGCTGCTCAGAGGGAAGAAAATTCCATGTTACAGCCCCCCCACCCCGGTCACTTTAACATTCGAAAATGTTGAGAATTCAAAGCTGATTAGTCCGGTGATATGGAAACCACGCTGATACAGTATGTGTGTAGTGTTTACTGTGTTTTTAGTGTGTTGTATGTTTTGTGTACATAGACTGTGTGTTCTGTGCATGTTTAGTATTTGTGCGTGCTTGCTATTACGTGCGTGCATTTACCCTATTGTGTAATTGTGCACCTGTATGGGTGTTGGGTGTAGTGTTACTGTGTTGCGTGTGCTGATTCTGTCGTGTGCCCGTTTAGTGTGTTGTGCGTGTTTCATGTAGTGTGCTTGTGTTTACTGTGTTGCGTTCGTGTTTCCCGCTGTGCGCTTACTTTGCGTTGTATGTTTGCTGTGTGTGTCTGGTGTGACACGGCGAGGGGGAGGGAGTGGGTGACGGCGAACACAACCTCTACTCCCAAACTAAAGGGCCCACACTTGACTCAGACGGAAGTATGGGAGACCGGCTCTAATTCCAATCGTTTCTTCTAGTTGGGGCCTCAGACGGCTGCCGCCAGCTTGGGACACAAGCAGCGAGCCGGCCCGGGGTCTCAGAGCCATCGGGACTCGTAGTGGCATGGTGGGGTGGAAGCAGCGGCTGGGCCATGAGTGCAGAACTGCTCGGCTCACGCAGGGATCTGCACCCTTCGACTACCGAGGTAGATCGTTCTCAAGCCAGTGAGGCGGCAGGGACCCAAGCGGGGCTCGGCGTCGGGCGCCGCGGGGACGGAGGAGGCGCGGCAGTGAGAAGGCTCCTCGCGAGGCCAGCAGTTTCTTTAGCCAAAGCGGGTAAAGAGCGCGCGAGGGGTGCTTGAAGCCGGGACGAAGCCGTAGAGAGGCCCAGCTCCGCCCCGCCGCTTGCTCGCTGAAGCCTGGCCCCAGCTCCCCACAGTCTCGCAAGCCCCGCGGAGCCCCACTCGCGGACGCCCGGCAGCCGCCGCCTCACCTGCCAGGCGCTCGGCAGCTGCCCAATCAGCTGCGGTCGCTCTGCCGCGGCTGCCATGTTCTCGGCTTCGCGCTGCCAATCAGCGTGGCAGCGGCCAATGGGCACGCGGGCCGGGGGTCAGGTGACCGGAGGCCAGCTGGCTCCCCATTGGCGCGCGCCGCCCGGCCTCCCGCTCGGTTTATGTGCGAGGAGTGAGTGATTGACTTTATCAGTCCAAGGACATTACTCTGGAGGCGAAGAGCCTGGGACTCGCGAGGCGAGCGGCAAGGTTCGAGCCTGCTTACTGCCCACTGCCCGCCCGCCAGCCGCGATCCGCCTGCACCACTTGGTGCAGCCTAGCTGGGAGGCCGGTACCCAGGGAGCCTCCTGGCCCCGCGCTCCGGGTTAGAGGAGCGGTGCCCGGGACAGGATTGGCAAACCCCGCCCTCCACTTATTATTTTGCTTATTTTTCTTTGTGCGCTCCTGTTAGTTTGTTGAAGCAGATCTAGTCCCAGAGCCTTTTCTCCTCCCTTCTCCTCCCTCCTCCTTTCCCCCACCCTCCCCCCGCTCCTTTTTCTTCCCCTCCTCCCTCCTATCCCTCTGCAGGAGACTCTCGCAGCGACGGAAAGTTGCAGCTCCCGGTAGCGCCTAGGGAGTCTCCCGGCTGTGTCCAACCGCCGCCATCCCTCTCCGACTACGGCACTTCGGAGATATCCTTCGCCTGCACCCTTGCTCACTTCGGCAGGATCGCTTGTATCCAGAACGCCCCACCTATGACGATGCTTCTGGACGGAGGCCCGCAGTTCCCCGGGCTGGGAGTGGGCAGCTTCGGCGCCCCGCGCCACCACGAGATGCCCAACCGCGAGCCGGCGGGCATGGGGCTGAATCCCTTCGGGGACTCAACCCACGCTGCCGCCGCCGCTGCTGCCGCCGCTGCCTTCAAGCTGAGCCCGGCCGCGGCGCACGATCTGTCTTCCGGCCAGAGCTCGGCTTTCACACCGCAGGGTTCGGGCTACGCCAACGCCCTGGGCCACCATCACCACCACCATCACCATCATCACGCCAGCCAGGTGCCCACCTACGGCGGCTCTGCCTCCGCCGCCTTCAACTCTACTCGCGACTTTCTGTTCCGCCAGCGCGGCTCCGGGCTCAGCGAGGCAGCCTCGGGGGGCGGGCAGCATGGGCTCTTTGCCGGCTCGGCGAGCAGTCTACACGCTCCAGCTGGTATTCCTGAGCCTCCTGGTTACTTGCTCTTTCCCGGGCTGCATGAGCAGGGCGCTGGGCACCCGTCGCCCACAGGGCACGTGGACAACAACCAGGTCCATCTGGGGCTGCGCGGGGAGCTGTTCAGCCGTGCTGACCCGTACCGCCCGGTGGCCAGCCCGCGCACGGACCCCTACACAGCCAGCGCGCAGTTTCCTAACTACAGCCCCATGAACATGAACATGGGCGTGAACGTAGCGGCCCACCATGGGCCTGGCGCCTTCTTCCGTTACATGCGGCAGCCCATCAAGCAGGAGCTGTCCTGCAAGTGGATCGATGAGACTCAGCTGAGCCGGCCCAAGAAGAGCTGCGACCGGACCTTCAGCACCATGCACGAGCTGGTGACGCATGTCACCATGGAGCATGTGGGGGGCCCGGAGCAGAACAATCACGTCTGCTATTGGGAGGAGTGCCCCCGCGAGGGCAAGTCCTTCAAGGCGAAGTACAAACTGGTGAACCATATCCGAGTGCACACGGGCGAGAAGCCCTTCCCATGCCCTTTCCCGGGCTGCGGGAAGATTTTTGCCCGCTCTGAGAACCTCAAGATTCACAAGAGGACCCACACAGGTAAGGGGGGGAGGAGACAGGTGGGCGCGGGGCTCACCGGGGCAGCCTGCCTTGGAGTGGACTTGGAACGCGAGGGAGAGGGGTGAGGCCAAAGAGAAGGGGCGGCGCTCCTCCGAGGCCCTCCAAAAAGAAGCGCTGTCAGTGCCTCTCCACCCCTCACCCTCCCCGACCAGCGGCGCTTTTGCCCACTTCTAACTTCCCGGGCAGACGGCTCTGCGGTGTTAGGAACTAATTGGGACCTTCTCGCGCCCAAGAACAAACTGGTGCCGCCTCTTTTTGTGTGCTTTTCTTGGTTACTATGAAGAGACTCCGAATGTGTTGAGAGCGTATTGCTTACAGGCGACTTAGCTCTCGGCACACATTCGAGGAAGGCAACCATAGAAATGCTAATGAAAACTAACTTTCGGTTACTTCCGCTCTTTTTTACACTTGATTGGCACATCTCCTAATTAAATGAGTGATACTTTTGTCAAACTATTTTTATTTGGAGTTTCAAGTTCTGTTCAGTCCTCCGGGAGGAAAGCTAAAGTAGAAAAGGCACCACAATTTCGTGGCTTGTTCAGAACCTCTTGTAAAAGTGTCTGCAGCCCCTGAATTTGTATAGTTTTCTCTTTCCGAACATTAAGTGGGACTACCAGGCTTTTTAATACTGGGCTTAGCAAAATAGCTACATTTGAAAGAGGCAAATCAAAAAGTACAAAGAAAGGGCTGAACAGGATCGTCCTGTCCCCGACCCATTGTCCCGCCGGGCTCAGTCATATCGCCGATGTGGCGGCGGAACGTGCCCGCTACTCGGGAATCCTGGGCCGGGTCGGGTGGGACATCAACTTAGGGGGAACTTCGGAAGAGCTAGCAGCTTTCTTGTCCTGGGAGAACAAAGGGACGATCAGGTTCTAGGCTGGGCCTGCCCCACCCCCGCACCGGATCACAACTCCACAACCCAGCGGACTGTACCAACGCTTTCCATTTCTCTCCAGGGAAAAGAGATGCCACAACCTCCCTAGGAACTCCCTCTCCGGGAAGACCGCCGGGCGCTCCATTTCCCTCTGGGAAGCTACTGGCCCTGACCGTATTTCCCTCTTGCATTTTTGCCTTTTGCAGGTGAGAAACCTTTCAAATGTGAATTTGAAGGCTGTGACAGACGCTTTGCTAACAGCAGCGACCGCAAGAAGCACATGCATGTGCACACCTCGGATAAGCCCTATATCTGCAAAGTGTGCGACAAGTCCTACACGCACCCGAGTTCCCTGCGCAAACACATGAAGGTAATTACCTCTTTATTAGCGGTCGGCGGTTTGTAAACACTCGGCCCGACACCGGGCCGCGCAACGGAAGTGCCCGCTCTGCCAACCCTCTATCCTCCAAGTTAAATCCGATTTGCTCCAGTGGTGACACCTTGAACCCATTTTGGGGATGGGGGGCAGGAGAGAGCAGAGTTGGGGTGGGGGAGAGCGCGGAGGAACAATCAGTTGTTTACTGGGAAGCCCTAGCCAAGCTCGCCAGTGCTTAAGGCTGCAGTGGCAGCCTCTTCCAGGCTCAGCCCGCGGTGGGAGTCCAGGGTGACCGCACCAAATCCGGGGGAGGGTCATTCATTTGCTCTCTGGCTTCCCATAAAACAATAGGGCGAGGAGCACGGTCTGATTCCCACACATTTGTCTGTGTTGTCTGGGACTTCACAGCACCCAGGGCTTCAGGGCCACTCTTCTGTACCTGCTTTCCCAAGCCGAGATGGGTTTGGTGAAACCTGGGCCCCGCAGAGTAACTGCTTACCCACTCCATCCACGGAGAAAACATTTTTTGAAGTGGCATAAAACGGAGTACTTTAATCCTTTTCCATAAGGAAAAATCTGGGGGCTGGGGGAGTTGATGAAAATGCCCGGGGTTTCTAGACATCGGTAATACAGATTTTTTTTTTTTTAAATCATCGTGTTTCTCTTTTAAGTGGGTCACTGGGCGGTCTTGCTCTTACAGTGCTCAAATTCTGCTCTTGTTTTTGCTTGCACATTGCCAGTTGGAATTATATTCATTATAATATATACATGTTAATTTTAGGTTCATGAATCTCAAGGGTCAGATTCCTCCCCTGCTGCCAGTTCAGGCTATGAATCCTCCACTCCACCCGCTATAGCTTCTGCAAACAGTAAAGATACCACTAAAACCCCTTCTGCAGTTCAAACTAGCTCCAGCCACAACCCTGGACTTCCTCCCAATTTTAACGAATGGTACGTCTGAGGACAACCAAAATGCATTTTAAAAAGAAAACTGACACCAATCAGATGGAAATGGAGTTTTAAAGCAAGAGGCCATATAGAGGGCTACATCTTGTTAATTGAAATTGTCCAGGAAGGTTTTGGGCAAGATCCAAAAGTAGCCATGCCCTTTTCTCAGGATTAGAAAATATGTTTTGGCATTCGAAGGATTTTTTTTTTTTTTTACAAAATCTTTTCATTGCTTTTTCCACCCCTTCCTCTTGCTTTCTGTATACCCCATTCTGAAACTCCTTCAATTCATTTTTTACACTTGTCCTGTTTCTTGAGGAAGTTATAGAAGGCTTGGTGGTGGTGATGATAAACTGATGGAAATTCTTCTTCGCCTTAGTGGTGATTGTTTAAACTCTCACAGTCTTAAACCATGCCAAAGTCCTGTTATGTCTTGAACTTTTCTTCAAAGCATTACACTTGTGAATGTATCTTTGTCTATTGGGGTCGAAACTGTTGTTCAGTATTTTTTCAGGCTGAGGATATGATGTTACGCTACACAGATTGTGACGTTTAGTATACAGTTGCCTTTTGTAATAACTTTTTTTTTGTAAATACATATCCGTTGATGCCATATTTATCGTTTGTAATTTAATTATTGCTGCAAGTGCCGGGAACTGAACAATATTTATGGATAAATGTTTTCTAACAAATTCTGTACAGCTTTTGATTATAACTGCTTTAGCATTAAAATTTATTGTTTTGAAAGAACACAATTTACAATTTTTGAACCACTGACTCTTTTCTCTTGTTTTGTAACAGCCTCCTTCCACAAAGAGGAGACATGAGCAAATTGAATCTTGTTTGTTGGTATTTATAACTCACTCAGATCCCTTTTTTAATTGTTAAATTATTTTTCTATTGCAGTATAGATTCCTTACAGTGTCAGTTTCCATCTGAGAAGACCCTCCTTTCTTTATCTGTAGCTCAGATGGTTGTTTAACTGTGAGTTTAAATGTGTTTGTCCTGGATTTTCGGCATGCAAATCAAATATTACTGATCAATTCAGTTAGTGGCCATGACATCTCAATCTTGTACTTCAAAGACTGAGAAGCTGGATTTAATCATCCCTGCCCTACATATATAAACATAAGGTAACCTAATTAGTTTTATGTCCCTTAGTTGTTTATTACCTTACATAGAAATGAACATTGCGGCAGGATGCATGTCTGTTCTATCTAGAGATCACCCATATACCTATATATGTTTGTATCTATGACTTATCTAATCTGCCTAGCAAATCTATCTAGCTCTCTATATATTTTCAGAAAATAGCATATGTCTGGAACAGTGGTGATGAGCAAGGCCAGTTGAGCAGTGCTTACTTACGGTAAAAGTGCTTCTTAAAAGAACCATAGTCCATTTAAATTTTGGATGGCAAAGGCTGATTTGTTTGCTGTATATAGTTCAATTCATAATTATCACAGTTATTCATAACATTTATATAGCGGTGTAATAACTGCAGCAGTTCCGAAAATGATACTGTGGAAAGAAAAAACATTTGCAAAATGTTATTTTTAAAGTTCATTATTTGTAGGCAAAGATGTTAAGAGCATTGTTTCCATTAAAATCAATAACAATGAAAAACGGTTGTTTGCTTTTTGATAAAATGTTAACAATCCCTTCAGTCTTCAGCGAAGCAACTCTTTTGGACAAACAGTTCTTTTTACAATGGTTCCATGGAAAAGAAACTGATTACTATTTTGGGAGGTTGAAGTGGGTAGACTATTGAGATCTTTTTTTTTCATTAGGGTGCTGCTGGTTACTGAGAACCCAGTCTCTGCATGAATAACAGAAAGGTGGAGATAAGGAATTGTGAAGTATTTAGAAATGTACTGAATAGGCTTAAGTACCTCTTTCTCTTTAAGGGGCAATGCTCTGAGTTTTTCATGGCAGTCAATTTGGTAATGTATATATGTATTATATATACATACATATATAATCACTTTAAATTCTAGAATTTTGTTGTTTGTTGTTTTTGAAGAAATAAAGTCTTGGCACATCTTATTTATGTTATAACATTTTTGTGTTTGGTGCCCGATATTTTTTTCATGTTCAAATACACCAACCTAAAATTGAAATGCTTGGAGAATTTCTGATGATTAAAAGAAACTTTGATTCCCTGGATACAGTTGAAGCAATCTATTTTGTTATCTACTGATCTTTGTCAGCAATTAATTGACAGTTTCTAATTGCAAATTGCTTTGGAGGCAATTTTTTTGTTAGTGAAGAATGGTTTCTTTTGCTCTTTACTTCACCAGTATTCAAGCCTGAATGCCATGCACAGACATTAGGATGATTACATATGTGATGAGCAGGTAACCAGGTCACTGTACCACTCCCACCCAGACATTCCAGTCTTGACCTTGACATTGAGGGTGCTAGACCAGATTCCTACCTCAGGATTTTTTCCTTCACTTCAAACCAGAGACCAGTTTAAATGCTCATCAAGTTTTCAGTAAGTGTATATTCCTAAGACTGGCTCTAAATGTGTGCCATTGTGCAATCTAAAGAGTGTGCTCTTCTTCTAACCTATGCTGTGAACTTGGAGTTTACTGTTTTCTCCTTGAGTTTCCTCCCCAGCTCTCAACCTAACCTAACCTTAAATGGAGATAGATTGGGTGCAAGATTCACTCTGAAACTTGCCTCCTCCAATTAAATACATTAAATATCTCCTCAGGAGACAAAGAAGAATTTCATCTTTTCTTAGTTGCTAGAAATTATCATAACATTTTACAGGAGAGCATTTCGAGTGTCCTAAGAGAGGAAGATGTCAGTTAAATAACAATGATAACCAGTATTAAGAGAGTATAAAAGCTTTGCCCCTCTACATGATCACTTCTAATTTGGGTGTAGCAAATTTCTCAAAATTATGTCCTATGTCATTTTTGATGAAGAAATCTTAAAAAAAAAAAACTTCACAGATTTTGTGCTCCCTTAATCAGTCTCTAGGAATGCACATTTACATTCTTGAATTTTCAGTAAATAACTTTAGAGAGTAAGTATCCTCCCATCCCTCTCAAAGTCATAAATGCTAAAACCCAAAGCCCAGACTAGGTTCTTAGTAATCTACTCCGTATTTTCCTTCCTGCACCTGGTAAGACCTTTGTTAAAATCCATTCTCTTTCTCCAAATGGGTGATTTGCCATAAGATTCCCACTGTAAGGTAGGGAAAAGGGAGGTAGCTATTCTGAATCACAACACAGAAGTCTGATATTCATCCAGTTGGGAAGGTTAAAGATCAGGATCCAGGCTAAGCAGGGCAGTTGGTCTTAGCCACTACGAAGGATGGAGATGAGAGAGCAGCGACCTCAGTTCACAAAAGCCTCCCAAGCAAAGTTGGTGTGTTCTGGCCTTCCTCGCCCCTCCCCCCATCTCCCTGCCCGATTTCTCTTTGCCTCTTTCGCCCCCGGGCTCTCTATCCCCGTTTTCCTCCTACGAAAATTTCCCGAAAACCAATCAGAAAAAGTCCAAAGGGCTAACATCTAAGTTCTCAAAGAATCTGCCAGTAGTGTGCCATGTCCTGAAGAGGGGGGGTTCTCGGGTTCTGGCACCTGGGCTGGGGTTTTTTTTTCCCTCAGGGCCACTAGCCCTGGAGCCCAAGGATCCAGTTGGGCTTTGGCCCGGGAAGAGGCCAAGGGTTTCAGAAGTCGGGGCTCGGGTCCGACTGTCTTCAGGCCCCTTGATGGGTTGCCCAGGGTCCCTGTCCACAACCAAATCCTAAATCGCGGCTGAGACTCCAGGGAGGGAACTTTATTTCCTGGGGTCAATTCTCTCGGGGGCTCTGCCCGCTGACCCTTTGACCTCCACCTACAGGGCCCTTGGCGGCCGTAAGCCTGCGGTCGCCTGGGCTCCGAGGACGCTTCGCGCCCCATCGCCTCCAGGCCTCATTAGGCTGGCTGGGGCTGTAAAGCAGGAATCAGCCGCTGCCTAATCCGGACCTGGGGTCAATACGAGCCCAAACAATGGTGAGCTCCGAAGGCCACAGCGCAGCGCTGGCCGCAAACTTTGTGTTCGATTCATTTTCCTGAAGCGGCTGGGTGGGGGCGGGGTGCGGTGGGGCGGGGGGGGATGCTGGACCGCCCGAGGGGCCGCTCGCCGCTGCCCGGCTCCATCGGCGGGCTCGGCCCTCGGCCGTCTTCGCAGAGCTAGGGATGGAGGGAGAAGCGAGGCCCGGGGCCTGGTTGGCGGCAGGCGCAGGAGCCCGAGGGCCGGCGCAAAGGGGGCCGCCCCCGCGCCGGGAACGCACTTTGAAGTGGGTTTTTAGCGCGCACGTGTGAGAGCCGGGCCAGGGCCTGAGCGGGGACCTGCTGGGAGGAAAGAGGAGGCTCGGGCCCGGGCCCCAACCCCTCCGCTGCTCCCCGTGGCTCCAGCCTTTTCAAGCCGCGGCCATAGGCCCCCCCACCCCCCGCGCCCGCGGCCGCCGCGCGCAAGCGCACAGCCCGCAGCCGTCGAGTCGGCTTTTGCGGCGAGGGGGTTGGGGGGAGAGTTGAAAGCCACCAGGCTTTGCAGCGCGCGGGGACCTCGGCCTAGCCGGGAGGGAGGGGACGAGAGGAGAGGGATGTGGGAAGGAGGGTTCGTTTTGGGGCGGCTCTCGAGTAGGGAACATGGCGGCCGGATGCGAACCCCCGCGGAGCGCAGCAAAACGCAGACTCCGGGCTGCCAAACTGTTGTGGCGTGTAAATTTCCTTGTTATTTCTCGGCTCTGGGCGCCTCGCGGGAGAATATAGGTCGTGGCGGTAGAATGCAAAATTGTTTTAAGAAAAAAAAAAAAAAAGAGGAAGCGAAGAAGTTCTTCCAGGGCATGCATGCTCGTGGGAAGTTGGCGTGGTCTTCTGGGGCTTGGGGTTCCCACAGGACTTGGATGTAAAACCCGCCAGAAGTCCACCCTCCTGCTTCAACTTAAAACCTTCCCCCCCACACCCCTCCCGGTATTTATGGGTGTACAATGGTGTCATTTCGAGTTCCCGGGCCCCTGTCGGGATTCCACAGCACCTAAGTCCCTAAAGATGTGCAAGAGGGGACACTGTGTTCTCTTCCCAGGACAATGGCTGAGCTATGAGGAGGGAACGTTAGGCACCGTTTCCAAATGAATTGACCGGGCTTGTCAACAGACAGGTGCTATTCGAAGGTCGGATTCTACCCGTTGCCTGGGCCAGGTTTTCTGCATATCTCATTTAAACGTGATCCTACGAAAATTGATTCTGTTGTGCCTCTTGAATGTGCCACAACACAAAAGCTTGTGGTCTCAGGTTAAGGAGTTTAAAAAGGCCACAATCTGGAAAACTTTCAGCTTTTGCCTGAATGCTGGCTTGTGAAAGAATCCCAGGTAGCTCTGAGATCTCGAGCGCTTACTTTCCTACGAAGGAAAAACGCTGCGGATTCACCTTCAGATGTGCCTTTCGTTGCGGGGGGGCGGGTGAGGGGGTTATGAGATTTTAAAGTAGGGCATTGATCCCGGAGCTCGAGGTAAATAAGCAACACCAACTTTTCCAGGTTGCGTCTTCGTGGAGACCAACATTCACAGGAAAAGACAATTCTCTTGGACTTGTCCAAAATCTACTATTTACGCTCCTGAAGGTGTGGGGCAGTTCCCGAGGGCCACCTTGGGAAGGGCCCCAGGTGGGTGGGCAGGTCATTAGCAAGGCTGGCCCTGATCTGGGGGAAATCTGCAAAACAGTGCCTTTATCTGCAGAGAACAATTGATGGGGTTGTCTTTCCTCCTTTTCAGTGCACAAAGAAGACGGCTTTGGAGCAAGAATTTGGACTATGCATTTAAGTTGTGCTTTGCATTGGAAACCCCTGGGCAATTAAAATGAGCGCAGTAGTATTTTCACTCCTTTTCTTATGTGTGATTTCTGCAAGTCAAAGGAGCTGGAGCCTCTTCAGCAGTTTGGAAACTTGTTTTGAAATTGCCACCAAATTGATTTTTTTTTTCTTTCCTGTGGGCGAAGTTTCCTGGGCCACTCTTCTCACCCCTTCAGTGGAACTGTGTACTGACATTTTTGAGAGATCAAAGGAAGTAAATGGTGCTTGTCATGTACTTTATTTCTCCACGCTATGGTTTGAACTCTGAGGTTTGAGCTTTTTCCTGGTTAAGTCTCTGGATACCAAAAGTGTGGGGGAAAAAAAGTTCATTAAACTCTGGAAAAGCTTCAGCCTTTGGTTAGACAGTTAGGGGTTTGTTTCTTTAAGAACTACAGAGCCTGGTTTGTTTCTCACGTTGACTTTAAAATCAAACTAAGATGCATTGGTGAACTGTTTTTCCCCGGATGCCTACCGGGATCTTTGGGTCACTTGATAGGGTAAAACTGGTTGATTTTCATAGGAGTTATGTGAATGGAATTTCTGCAGAACTAGGCAAGTGATAAAGTGGTAGAGCTCTTATATTTGTTTGGATGACAACTCCAAGGGACACTTCTTTTCTTACTGAGGTTTGGACCCTATCTTAGCTATTGAAATGTACAGCTTGAAAACCACTAAGTTTTCAGGAACCATTTAAAGAGAGGAGTGCTCAGATCATTTGGGGCATAAATTCTTTGAAAATTAGAGAAACTCCTGTTTCAAAACATCTATTAAAACTAAAGAAGATGACATTCTTTAAAAAGCATCGAATACACCAAGCAGTTTTGTATATTTTAATGTGATCACAATTCAATCAGTCCGATGGATGAAGAGAAATGTAAGCTTTGTAGCCAGTATAAAAATACCTTTCACCAGATGGCAAGTTTATAATGCTTGATCGCTAATAGGATATATATATATATATATATATATTGTCTAATGTGCCTTATGACAGTACAACCTATATAAAGTTCATTTGAACTTAAGGTGTTAACAGTAAAGAGCCCATCTTGTTTTATCATAAACTAACCATTTAAAACAGCATATCCAAGAAGTAGTTTATGACATTTTTCTGTAAGAAAATGTGGCCTGTTTTGATCTATCTGCAGTTTACTTTTTGTTTTTTTGCCAGTGTTGTCCTGCTTGGTATCCGGGACAGTCTCTAATTCCTGATGAAGAACTTGATACTGACGTTGGTATGCAGCAACCAGCCCTCCATAACACTACCTATCCTAAATGCAGGGTTAATGCCGAGCCTACTGTGCAAGAAATGATTTACTGATGAGGTTCCAAAGAAAACCACATCAATTTGGATGTCTGTTACCTTGAAGTGATCATTTTAAGAGCAGTAGCTTCTCCCCTAGGTATGAAAAGACTATTTTCTTCTTTTGGTGTATTTCATTCTGTGTTGAGCAATCATTTGTGAAATGAGAAAGCAAAAAAGCTCCCTCCTCCAATTTAGGATTTATAAATGGGAAGATGGAGGTAATGACTGGCCTAATTCATAACCTAGTATGCATTATCTATCTAATGCTCTGTTGCAAATCTTCCTTCCAGTATCCGTGTTCCACACGTAAAACTGAAGTGTTTAAAACTAGAAACATGAATACTTGTTTTGTTGATTTCATATGTTTGTGCTCAAAAACCTATACCCAGGATCCGTACAATTGTTATTTGACTTAAATAAAGCAATTTAAATTACTTTTGTCATTATTGTTTTACTACAGTGACAACTATAGCTCTTAAGTACCCTTGATTAACATGTCGAATTGGTATAATTTATATTTTGCTCACATTTTACATGGTATAGCTGGCTTTTCACTGAGCAATCAACTTGAGAAAGAAAACCCAGTGAGTAAACTCCAAACAACTGTTTTGAGCTCAGTACGCCTACCCAGGAGCTCAAAGCCAGATGCTGGGAAGGTCAGGGAATTTAGAAGTAAGGATTGATTGGCGTAATTAGAAGGAAGGAATGGAAGCAGGATTTTGGAGGAAAAAAGAACACTGTTCAGGTAAGAAAGAAAAGGAAAGATACAACTGAAGATAACCTCAAATGATGAGAAGAGGGCCTCAGCGGTACACAAGGGCAGTTAAAACGTTAAGTGTATATTATTCAGAAGCCCCAAAATGGTCTTTGTGGTAGAGGACTTGGTAACCATTGATTAGAACAGTTACAATCATGGAATATAGGTGTTATTAAGCACAAGTTGCCATTAATTAACTGTAGTGTTAGAGAAGTGGAAGACATGTCAAAGAAATTCTTCCATCTCCAGGTACTTGAGTTCTCATTTTAAATTTAACAGCTGTAATCTAATGTAATCTGCAAATGGCCATCATTCTATTTATTTGGCATGACTGTGCCATAGAATTGCAGCCTGATAGAGTATATTGCTATTGGATCTTTAGATCTAGTTTAAAATTCTTCTAAGTAGATTGATGACATTACCAGAGTCTTCCCACATGCAAAGCAGGCGTGCTACTGCTTGAGCCACACCTCAGTCCATTTTGCTCTGGTTATTTTGGAGATGGGGGTCATTTGAACTGTTTGCCCCAGCTGGCCTCAAACCTTGATCCTCTGGATCTTAGCCTCCCAAGTAGCTAGGATCACTGGGATGAGCCACCAGTGCCTGGCTTGAAATAGTTTATTAAAACCTACAGTGGTTTGTATTGTGGTACAAATCAATATGGTTCTCAGATAATAGATGCAGATTTGGAATATCTAAGAAATACAGCATTTCATAAACATAACCACTACATCAAGCATGTAGGTTTATGAACGTAGCGATAAATATTTAAAAACATAAAATGTTATTAAATGCCTGATGTTCATTATCTTCCAATGAATACACTTATTCTAAGATAAAAATAAGTTATAAAATCTATAAACACAATACTTTAATGGTTTGCTTTTAACCGAATAAAATTTTTAGTTTTGTCAACAACATGGTTCTTATTTGATGATGATTTTCCAACGTAAAAGTTTATTCACATGTAACAAAAAGATTAAATCTTATGTCTTAAATTATTCAGTTTTCCCCTACTGAATTTATGCCAGTATTATGTGGGTGTGACTGTAAGGTAATCAGACTGATTTTGTTGTGCAGCTTGGAGGCTAAACCTGAAAGCATTTCCCAAAGCAATGTCCTGAAATGTTTTGAACAATGTCATCATCCTTAGAATAAGTCTCCTGAAGTGACCATTGTTTCACTTAAGGTAAAAAAGAAAATTAAAAAAAACAGCCACCAGTCTTTTTGCTTTACAGCCATACTTTTATTTTTATTATGTTTTAGAGAAGTGTCCAGATTATTTCATTTTATGTTAATAAAATTGAGGCTTCGAGTTGGAGGTGAAGCCCAGTGGTAGAGCACTTGCCTAGCATGCAAAAGACCATGAGAAAAACAAGACTTCAGCACCTCAGGCAAAAAAAAAAAAAAGAGGCTTGAGCCAGATTCAATGTGGTGGCACTACCTGTGATCCCAGCACTAGGGAGGCTGAGGCAGGAGGATCTCGAATTTGAGCCCAGCCTGGGCTACATAGAAAGTATGAGGCCAGCCTGGGCCACAGAGCGAGACCGTGTCTCAAAAACTAAAAATACATAAAATAAGAAAAAACTGAGGCTTAGCTGAAAAACAGTAGAAATGCTATATTATAGCATTATAAAAATCTTTTCAGTTGTAGGTCTATTTATGCAGGAAAACAAAAAATAAAACAACATGCACTTCTTTCCAGATGAACTGAGTGGGAAGTGTTTTTTTTTTTTTTGTTTCCCTTCCCATGGATTTTGGTGACTTGGAATTCCTCAAAGAACCAGTACTCTTGAATGTAATTATAGCTTTTGTATGGCAACCTGGGGGACTTTTCATTATTCCTTTTGTCACTGGTTTATCACCTTTGTCTCCCTTTTTTTCCTAACCCTCTCTTACTTATCCTGCCCATTAGCCTTGGAAAACTTATTTCAAATCTTAGTTGGTTGTTATTGAGTATGAGCAAGGTTCTGTCAAATGTCTGATTTCAAAATGTGTGCCTCACCATCTCATCCAGTGAAGTCATACCATCCACAGCTGTATGGTCTTGCAAGGTCCTAAATGGTCAAGTCAATCAGCACAGTCATTCCTGTTAGAACAGGAGGCCGGAGAACACCCTCTTAGAACGTGAGAAGTGTTCTGCTCCTATTGTTTTTTCTTGTACTTGTCTTAGGGGCAAAAAAAGCCCTTTAAAAAATTTTCTTTAGATCAGATCCACAGAAACGTCATTGGTGAAATGATGAAAATGTTACTGCCAAACATTTCCTGTGTAAATGTCCAGAGCCAACAATAGGCTATTTGTGGTACAAATATATACATGCATTTTAGCACCTTAATTTCAATCAAGGGCACAGAAATTATTTACAAATGATTCACTAATGTTACCCAGTCAGAACTGACATGGAAAAGCTACACTGTATCTTTGCAGCTAATCACCAATAAATAAGAGTATGTAATTTTCTGGCCAGCAGGTATCATTTCTTTGGTGATCTCACTCCTTTACAAAAAATATTTAGCTACACTGAGGTATGACATGTGATTGGCTGTCATGATAACTGAACACAGAAGGTGTTAACTTCTAACCAAATGACATATTAAATGAAGACACTCAGTTAAGCAAGCATCAGTGATTTCAATTGACTCATCAATCGCCAGTGTCACTTTGCTAACAAGCTGATATCCCACATCTGATGCCAACAACTCAGATCCTTCAAACAAATGACACGTTTAATAAAGAAATCTTTTAAAAATCATTATGCACTTCAGCATTTGTCTTTTCTTCTAGCACAGAATCCGTGCATCTGTTCCATCATACCTCTATTCCTTGATCATTTCTGAGCCTTCCATGATTTTTGAGCTCGATTTGCTGTTATCTCAAGGATGGAAAATGAAGCTTCTTCCATTGAGTGTTACATTGTTGAACACTGAAAGACTAATATCCAAGGCAGTATATTTAATCTTGTGAATGAGACTGCAATGAAACATTCTCAGACTTTCTGATAAGAATATTGTAAAAGAAACGAAGTGGGGGAAGAGAAGGAAGCCTAATTTAGGAAAAACATTAAGGGGATTTTTTTTTTTTTTTGGCAGTAGTAGTGTTTGAACTCAGGGCTTCATGTTTGCTTAGGCAGGCACTCTACTACTTCAGCCACTTCATCAGCCATTTTTTGTGATGGGTTTTTTTTTAAAATAAGGTCTCCCAAACTGTTTTCCCAGGACTGGCTTGGAACCTGGATCCTCTTTATCTCTGCCTACTGAGTAGCTACGATTACAGGCCATGAGCCACCAACGGTCTTTTTTTTTTTTTCTTTTTGGTGGTGTTGGGGTTTGAACTCAGGGCCTCACACTTGCTAGGCCGGCGCTCTACCATTTAAGCCACTCCACCAGGTCTTTTGTGTGGGCATCTCCAAGATAGCATTTCTTGAACTACTTGCCTGGGCTGGCTTCAAACTGCAATCCAGGCTCCTGATCTCTGCCTCCTGAGTTGTTAGGATTATAGGTGTGAACTACTGGTGCCCGGTGCCTGGCATAACTGAGGAATTCTTAATCTCTGCTTTGCAGGTGTCTGTGTTGCATGCATCTGGCTCTATTAGACTCCCTTTAATTGCATATTGACTAATTGCATAACTCAGCTAGTTTAACTTTGAATTTAAGCCCTAATGCTGCTGTTAACAGTGGGATGAGTTTGGATATGTGCATAGTGGAAATATACTACTTGAATATCAGAATATGGGACAATAACCACTTCTATAATTTAAAAGGAAAACAAAGTGTCTAGAAACACCTTTGAATTAAAAAATAAGCCAGTATCAGGTTCTATTGTGTAAATATTAAATAAGAAAATAAATTGTAATTGACAAATGCCAAATCTTGATCCACAATAAATATTTTATGAAATCTGTGCTTGCTTCTAAGTATTATAAATTGAGCATCCATATATAGTATAAATATGTTAATTAAAATTAAATCATTCTGAATAGGTAATTGTGCATTTGTTTCTAATTTGCACTCATTTCTTTAAACGTATGCCCTTAGGCATTTTTTTCATTTGGGGGAAGATCCATTCTGTAGCCTGCACTAATTGAAACTTACTTGGTACACATGTGTAACAGTAAGAACCTGTGACTGTATATGCAGATATTCCTCTTGGTTTAGAATAAAAGCACATATTCAAGTAGTCTAATGTTCAAAACTGAATTTTGGTAGAATCAGGAAAGGGGATTTATTAGCTAAGAGCAGACAATAAAGCCCGCTTCTTCAGTACTAGAAAAATATTTTAGTTGCTATGGTAAATGTACATTGAATGACTCAAATATTTATGTCTGATTTTTCTCCTACTTTTTGTTTTTTGTTTTTGTTTTGCTATATTGCCCAGGCTGGTCTTGGGCTCAAGAAATCCTCCCACTTCAGAGTCCTGAATGCTGAGACTACAGGTGCATGCCACCTGTGCACCTAGCTTATAATATCTGATTTATAAGTATGTTGACTAGAATAAAAGAAGTGGGGATCCTTATCAGTCCTCAAATTGAGCTTTGGCCTCAAGCTTGTGTGGTGTGTAGGGCCATTTTCCTTTTCTTGTGTCATGGGCTTCCCCCACCCCCTTAAATGGTTAAATTCAAGGCATACTCTGAGGACCATTCCAGAAACTTCTTTAATCTTTGAAGAAAGTTTTCAAGC